GATTCTATGATTCTATGATTTCACCAGCGTCACTCACCTGAAGGCTCACATTAAGCTGAGAGGGTCTCCCCTGTATTTTACAGGGGTGTTGTTATTTTGAAGGGAGACCGGTCCTGTGCATAACCGCCAATAATTTCACCCAAGAAATAGCCTTGGGTGTCTACACTAGGCAAAATGAAGTCCTGCCTTTGGGTCTAATTCTCCCCCAGCCACCAGGGTAGCAGCAGGTTGCAAAGGCCTTGGAAACCTGTTTTAACTCCCTTCAGCCAGTGGTTGGGAAGAGAAAAGCCCAGGGGAGGTTCTCTTTTATCCATGAGGATGTGAAATTTCATTTGTGGCTGACAGCGCTCTTAATCCTGCCTTTTTATTGATGAAGAATCTCTGGGTACCTCAACTGTTACCCTAGACAGCAATTGACCTTGTTTCAGCTATGTATCAAAAGGCACTGGCAATCAAGGTGCTATTGATTTAAACCTAATGGGCAGCCACTCAGGAATTTCACCTGGAAAAGAAAAATAATTTCCACCTTATTATTATTTATTTATTTTTATCTGTTTAGATACTATAATGAAAAGACCTAGGAGTCTTGCCAGCTCCTTACCGTTAAGCGAGATGCTTGCAGGGCCGAGAATGTTGGGTCAGGCTCTGGTAAGGTAGCCAGCCAGCTACAGATTGAAATGACTCTAGGGTTAAACATTTTTCCTTGATTGCCTGCTGCCATCCACGTCTCTCTGCTGACCTTCCCTGAGGCATGCAAGCTGCACGGCTATGTGGGACTCCGGAGAGGATGTCTTGAGCGATGCATTAGCCCTATTACTGGAGGAGCTCTGTGTGGGAAGGATGCTCCCTGTCTTGTCGTTGCTTATTTCAGGTGTTTTCTTCCCTTCCCTTCCCCAATCCCAAGGGGAAAGTGTCACTCAGAATCTGCAAGATTGGTTTACAAGCCTGGTTTAAATGCATGGCAGGTAGGCAGTGGCCAGAGAGATGCTTAGATCTGTAGTAGGACTGAGCAACACTGCAGGCACCCTCCTGTCTAGTTGATGAGGCATACCAGGATCCATCCAGTCGCCCATAGGCTGAATGGTCCAACATTGACTGTGTCCATGTGGTTAAACTCTCTTACCTGCCAAAATAAGGTGGTTTTCTCCTTTGGGTTACTCAGGAGCGTTATTTACAGCCGTGTAGGAATTGTCTGGGAGAGGACACAGGCTGAAGCCGTGCTGTGGAATGTGCTAGCACTTTGTGTGGGTGATTAGGCAGGATGCTTGAGCCTGTAACAGAGTTGCTCTCCATTCCTTGGGATGGCAGATATAACAGCCTTACCATACCAAAGCCATCACAACTAGTCCTGGCTTAGGTCTTCTGCAGAACATTATCTGTTGGCACTTCAGAGGCTTTGGAGCCAAATCACTTTTTCAAATGTCGTTGCGTCTCATGCTTCCTTTTAATCAGGCTTTTGCAAAAGGGACTTGGCTCCTGCATCATGTAGGCTGATGGACATTTAGCAGTAAGGGATGGCGTGGGGTAGTCCTGACACCAACCTCACGGTGATATTCTGAAGTGCTCCTGGGCCTCAGGTCACTTAGGCATACTAAAACATTACCCCTGTGGCCTCTGCTTACTTTTTTCCTCTTGTTCCTAACAAATGTGAGGAGAAGGATGGTTTTCATTTCCCATGACTTTGGGGAATTCCCATGCAAATTAAAGAGATGGGAGTGACCCTTTCTCATAACCCATCCCTTTCAAGTTGACCACCTAAAACCGCACAAGGAACGTGTACCGGTCTGCATACCAGCTACCTCTGATGTCAGTGTGCTTGTAGAGCCTCATTTGCACCCACTGAGCGAGCATTTTCCGTGCAGACAGTACAGCTGTCAGAGGAATGCCTGGGGTGAGACCTGTGTTCCCAGAGCCAAGCGCCATCAGGATGATAGGTGAGCGCAGAGACAACGTGAAGGGAATCTGACAGCGCAGCTCCAAAGCGTGAGATAAAGCTGCCTTAAAACGTCATTTTCCCGAGTGCTGCTCAAGCCAGGTAATGCCTGTTTGTTGGAATGATGTGACTGCGTGGAGGGGCAGGGCCTGACCCAAGCTTTGCTGCAGCAGTTGGAGCAGTGACCAACCATTCACCTCTTCTGGGTGAGGTTTTTTTGGGAGGAGATCTACTTGATTTGCATATCTTCTTCTTGTTTCTACTACATCTATGGTAGATATTTCTGCTAACAGCCTCAGTTTTCTTGGACAAACAGCAGGGCTAAGAATGCCTCTGAGACAGTTTATGGTGTGGGGTGACGTCCCCCCGACTTCGGTGGGGGCGATGGTGGTGTCATGTCAGGGAGCCTCGTGCTTTTTTCAAGCCAGCTCAGGGGGAACTGAGCAAAGTCTCCTGACAATTTACTCTTTAATTGCTGAGTTTTTCTCAGCTTCTGCCTGTGGTGATGTACCCTGATCTGTTTCTTTGAGGGGGCCGGGAGGAAGAAGGGGAACGTTTGTGGGCAAACTGTTGGAGACACTGCAGAATGAACTCCTAAGCAAGTGGTCCCACCCAACCTGGGTAAAGCACCGGGTGTTCCCCAGCTGAAACCTCCCAAGAGCAACACTGAGACAGCCTATCAGCCTGCGGGAGGTCTTGCAGGTCGCCAGCCCTCAGTGTGGAGCAGCAGATGACAGGCTGTCATGCTGCAAGGACCGGTCCCGAGGCAAACGCGGGACCTCCCCACCCTCTTCTGCGTCCCCCAGAAGCAGCTCCCCCTCACACCAGTATGCGGTGGCACTGGCTGATGTTACCTGTCGGAAGTGAGAAGAGGGCATAGTCCTGTGTTCATTTAGCACAGGCATAGCTGTATATGGAAATGAGTTTTCCTTGGAAAGGGCAGGGCACCTGATTTCAGTCTGATCTGCTGCAAAGGGATTGAGGGGATTAGACTAATCCTTTGGCGAAACTGAGTCCAACCTTCCAAGCTATTCTGCACATTGGTTTCATTTTGCCAGCAGGTTCTCCAGGTTTGAGGCCGAGAGCCCTGTTGTATAAATTCCATGGGAACCCACTGTGGTTTGTTTTCTTTCACGTAGTTTTCCTGCTTGTTCACCTAGGACAAGCACTGAACTATCTGCTAACACAATAAAATGGGTTGCAGCATGCTTAGTTAAGCTCTTTTATATGTTAAACAAGTTTCCTACTTCAATAATAGTGTAAGAACGAAGACCAGCTCTTAGCAATGATTTAAGTATCTGTTGCAAGCCAGAAGGGAGACTGCAGAGGTTTGAAATCTGGAGTTATTTAGAGGAAATAAAGTTAGGCTTTCGCTAGCCATTGCCCTGTTAGAGGATCAACGATATAAAAGGGAAATAGAGAGAAACCATCACGTACAAATAATACATATGCGTGTATACGTAGTTCTTGTTTTCCTCTCGGCAGCACACTGGGGACCTTAAGAATTTGGCCTTCGTGGATCTAATACGAAGCTCTTTAAGCCAGGAACATGTCTGTGATTTCTCTGTTCAGGCCCAGAAACAAAACCCTGAGTTCGTTGTTGCTGTGGCAGATACATCCATAATTCAAACAGCATTTTCCTTTGGCTGCACCTGAGCACAACTGGTGTCCTGGTGAGAAAGCGTTTGGGCTGGAAAAAAGGGTACTTTTAGCCTTCTGAACTCTCCCTGTGATTTCTCATGCCTTAGTGCAACCCGCACGAAACAGAGCCAGGCTGTGGTCCGGTGGGACAGAGGACAGCAAAAGGAGACAACCGGCTCCTGGACCTCAAGCGACTGTGCCCTCATGTCTTCCAGGTGAATCTGGATGGGGATGGTCACGCTGACAAGCCGCATCGCAGCCCTTTAGTCTGTTGCCCCAGGGCAGCCTCAGAGGCATTGGAAGGAGTAGGGTACCTAGGGTGATGCGAGGATTTGAGACCCTGCCCAGAGGAGTTTTAATTCCTCTGGGTCAGATCTGACCTCCCCTTCAGGTGGTGTTTTTTCAGCTGAAGAGCACTGCCTGCTCCTTTTTCCTTCAGCTGGGTTTTTCAAGGGTGGTAAAGCACTACGTGAGGGGTGTGACAGCTGAATACACCAGCTGCCTGCCCTTCGTAACTGCGGATTTCTGAGAACTGAAAATGGTTCTTTTTTATCTTTGTGTGTCCCCCCTTCTTATCAGAGCATTCAGAAGAAAGGGACATTGTGCCCAGAGTGACAGTGGCATACCTGGTGGGAGGATGGAAGAGGCATCATGGTCCTTCTCTGGTGGGGCCCACAATTACCAAGACATCTCAGGAAGTCTTCTGTCACCCCACACTGTCATCCACACCTGTTCACCCACGGATTTGGGGTGGGGTTTTTTGCCTCTCCAAGTGGGGATACGTTTGGAGGTCTCAGTCAGGGTGTGCTGGCTGTATTCCCTTATGAGGTGGTACCAAAGACAAGCTGATTTGGGTGCATTGATATGTTATTCATTGCCTGTGTCCTCACCTTGGCATCTCTTTCCTTTCTTCATCAGGAAAATGGGAGCCACTGCCCCAGTGTGACCTGCCTCTAAGGTGCAACGAAATAAAGACCACCCATCCCACCCCCTCAAACACCTCCCAGTATGGATGGCTTGGTTGAGCAGAACAGTGTGCTAATGCAGAGTAAGATCGCTGAAGCTGGGAAAAGGAATGGTTTAATTAATACAAGGAACTTAGTGGCAGAGAGTCGAGATGGTCTGGTCTCAGTGTACCCGACTCCCCAGTACCAGAGCCACCGAGCGGGGGGCCTTTCCTCTCCAAGCTGCCTGGAGAATGGCAGGAACGACCCTGTGCAGCAGCTCCTGGACCCCAACATGCTGCAGCAGACGGTGGAGTCTCACTACCGGCCCAACATCATCCTCTACTCAGAGAATGTGCTGCGCTCCTGGGGCGAGAGCATCGGCTCGGAGTGCTGCGAAACCACCTTCATTGAGGACCGCTCCCCCACCAAAGACAGCCTGGAGTACCCGGACAGCAAGTTCATTGATCTCTCTGCCGATGACATCAAGATTCACACCCTCTCCTATGATGTGGAGGAAGAGGAGGATTTCCAGGAGCTAGAGGTCAGATGTTATTTGGGAAATGTGGGGAAGGCTGGGGGGG